ATACTATTATTTAAATGGGGTATAAATTGCCTTGATGCTACCATTTGTTTGTGTTCTTTTTTTCCCCTTCCGTTGTTTATCCATACTTGCCTTGTCACTGGCCTTTGGGATCTTTAAGTTGGAACGTTCGTAAATAAGCAAAGAATTTTTAAATTAGCACTGTCGTCTTTATATAAATGTATTTTTTTGTGTGAATAATTTGTTGGTGTACAGCAACACAGGTTCCCTCTGCGTTACAATTGTCGGATTGTAGTCTCGAACCGTCGCCATATTTTAAGTGTTCGGAACGGTGGATATGAACCCAGATAAGACGATGGGCTTATATGGTCACCGAGCTGGATGACAATTTTGAAGTTTGGAAATGCGATTCAACGCTTACCGCAACGGGAGGTAGTGTTAATTACTTAACGGATTGCCTTGGCATTTTCTGTAGCCTTGGGAAAACCACATTGCAGCCGACTGTAATTGCGGCAGTGAAGCGAAGGTACAGCATTTCCGTCCGTTGAGTGGCTGTTTGCTTGTTGCTTCTGTTTCCGGGAACAAACGTTTGCGATAAAAACAACTGAGTGAGAATAGTCGATAATGGGGAAATTGACTGCTGACATCACTGAGCACCAGGAGATAGTGGAGAGCGCCAGTGAGGCGATTCTTAACATTCTGTTATCAGCACCGTGTACTACATGTTTCGGGCCTGTTGCGACCATCATCAGATACATAGGGCTCTTACAATCACCTCCCTGCTGTAAACGGGGGAACGTATCTTCTGGGACTGTAAACTGCAGGAGAAATAAAGGGCAACAGTGATGGATATTTTGTCTGAGAACAGCACACACATATATATGCATACATACATACACACACACACACACACACACACACACACCCAGAGTAAGTGAAGTCAGTTATAAAGCTCTTAAGGCTAGAGGGAAAAAAAAGATTTGTGCAAGGCGTCTGTTTTCTTTTTATTGCTAATGGGGTGGAACTAAGTCCCTTGTACTGCGGCCACTTCTGGCCTACTGTACCAGCCCCAGATGATAGGTGAGGGTGATTGTGGAGCAATTTGTGGAATGAAGATTGGCAGGGGAAACCGAAGTACTCGGAGAAAACCTGCCCCAGCACCACTTTTTCCACCACAAATCCCACTTGACCAGACCCGGGATCGAACCCGGGCCGCCGCGGTGGGAAGCCAGCGACTAACCGCTTGAGCTATGGTGCGGCCCAAGGCGTCTGTTACTTCATAAATAAAATTCCCAAATTTATTTAGAAACATAGAAGTATGTGCACAAAACAGTAATAGTATATTCTTAGAGTTGATAGAGGTGTTCAGAAATTGCGGGGATGACCGCTGTGATAGAATAAGATATTTATAAGAATGTGTTGCAGAGGGCCGGGTGGGCATTGTCTAGGCCATTATTGTATATACATGATTTTTTCAAAATTAAAAAAGTAGATGAATCAAACCGTCATCCTATTTAAAATCCAATGTAGTTCTATCCTCCAATCTTCCCGTAGGTTTTCATGGTCGTCTGTGTCCTTTGGGGTTTAGCACTAAATCTTTATAAGCACTTCGCTTCTCCCCCATGCGTAGTACATGCCCTGTCAGCGTAATCCTCCTTGATACCATCGTTCAAATAATATTTGGGTAGTACTGAAAAAACACGGAATTCCTCATTATTCGTCAACAGGACAAGCCCATAATATAGACACGGCTTCTCACTTCATTTTCTTTCAGTATCGCACAAATTTGTATCTCAAGGTTAACTGCTTATGCAGACGAAATTACTGGGAATCATCAGTGTGCGTTTCAACAGAAAAAAATACTGCTGTATGTATCGTCCGTCAGTATTGCAACACTTGTTTACTCACCACTTAATATTAATATTAGTTTAACATTTTACACTTTGACACAATATGTTTCGGCCTCAAACGGCCATCTTCAAGTGTCTTGATATGTTACAAATATTTTACTGAATTATGTTAAAACTTCTACACTGTTAGTCCGTGTTGAAATCACACGCTGTAGTTCTCTGTTCAAGATAAAACAAGATAAAATCCATTAAAAATTATATTAAACCCGCGTTAATTTGATGCTTCAATTTCACCTCACAAGGGTTGACGTCCATTTTCATAAATGTATGTCTGTCCCAGGTATTTTGTTTCGGCAGCTTGCCCCTCACGTTCGTAGCCTACTTTTCAGTTATGTCTGCAATATGCCCCTGGTTTGCGTGTTCCTCCACAGCGTGTGGTGTTGTCTTTACTAGTGTTGCAATATTGACGAGAGATAAATACAATGGACGTTAAGTTAAACAGTTGCAACGGGATGCTGAAATACAGAGTTACAAGAAGAAATACAGATCAGACTTCTTGCATTCGTCACGTACTGCAGAAGGGTGGGAGTATAGTGAGACAGCACTTCGGCTATTTCAAGACAACGAATACGCACCCGACTGCCATAAAACCAGCAAATCAAACCACACAGGAGGAATGAAATACGATAATCTACAATCGGCTCTATCCGTTTGGCTGGATACCAACCCGCAGTACTCCAAAGCTTTTTGATAAAGCTAGAGGTAAAGCTATCCCTGTAACAGGGCGTGGAGGCCCATAGGCTTGTGAGCCGTCGATGCTTCCACATTTTCTAGGCAATTGGCTCACAGATGGCGGTCATGTCAGCCTTACGCGCCGGCCTTCCCTTAGCCCCAAGAAGATTCCTGGTAGTCATTTCTGTTAAAGGCTGAGTGCGGCTGGAAGGATTAGGTCAACTGAAAAATCCAGTCTCCTCATCGGGACGAACCCGCGACCTTCTGGCTTCCAGCGTGGTGCCTCAATGAATACTGATAATAAATATGGCTACAAATTTTGTGTTAAATATTACGTTAACATTTAAAACTAGGCAACGGCGCGAATTATTATTTACCACAAATGTAAACTTCCTCCCTTCCTCCCTCCCGATTGCCTGAGCTGGTCACAGGTGGCCAGGAGCATTCAGAGTGCAAAGATCGTACGTGGAAACTGTATATTTTGGTACGGGTTGTAGCTTTCAAATCTTATATGTGTAAGAATAGTAACCAAACAGGGGTGGACATGCGTCTTCTTGCAGTGCAGAAGGTGGTTCCAGTTCGTGGTAGACTCATGCGCAGAGAGCGCAACTGGCCCGTTGAGCAATCTACCGCGTATCCGTAGAATTTCCAGAGTATGCAGCACGCACGGATTGTTGCCGTCCGCGTACAGAACAAATTCCACTGTTGTGCTCTGATAGGGGGCACGGACTGTACTCACCCCCTATCGGACGTCCGTGGATATCTCTTAACCTACGTTGTGGAAAGCATGCTTCACTGGGAGGGTCACAAAAACTCGAGTTGTCCAAACAATACAAAAAATGAAATATATATAATAAAATGAAAACACTTATACACCTCTACCGTCTAAAAACACCTTAAACCACCAAAATAATGTAACCCAAAAGTTCTACTAAGCCATCAGTGACCCGACCACAGACAAGTACTCACCCGCGCTAAACACGAAGCACAGGAAGAACAATGGCGCCATCCCAAGGTCTTCCGCAGGCACACTTTGCTCTACTCGTTCGTTTCTGGCAACTGCTAGAAACAGAGTGCCTGAAACGGCCTCTTTTCTCAATTCAAAGATTCAGCTTTTTTTCAATTGCGAAAGCTGCGCGTGCGAAATCCCTGAGGTCGGCATCTTGCCGGACATGCCTTGTCGCGCTAAGCGAAACCTGACCGGGTCTTTCCGCTGATGCTTAACAGTCTTTTCTAAAAACAATTCGATGGACTGCCAAGGAATGCGAAGAGTCAGCCGCGGTTCTGTCTCCTTGCCTTCCGGCCAGCCGTCTAACATTTCAACCTAAACACACAATCTTACAAAAATTATCCCTAATAACTAATGAAATGGGCTCAACACCACCTAATGGCCTCGGATGCCCCCGCGTAGCACCTCTGCTTCCTGTTCTGAGATCCCGGCCCGCGGACCAATGGCCTGGATGAGGCTTCTCATGGTTTTCTTCGTTCTCTCCAGCCACATGCAGAAATAGTAATCACGCCCACTTCAAGTCGATGAAGTTACTGCTCTTAACCAAAATACGCACAACTATCGTAAAGCCCCTTGAAAATTCAGAGGAAAATCTGTTACAGACTTCGGTACCTCTTCTTACCCCCCGATAATAATAGCCCCGTTTTATTTGTCCGTCCAATAGTCATTACTCTCCCCCTTCCTTCCTCCCCCTTCTTTACGCTAAAACGTTTTCAGCAAATAAGCATGTAAGTATGGGTAGATGGATGGATTTACGATGTTTAGTGGCAGGTTCCGGTGTTGGCAGTGTTGGATCCTATTGATTGTTGTGTTATTTAACGACGACTTTTAACTATTCGGATACTGGGGGTATCGAACTGTAGGATGAAAAGTAGAAATAATGTGGAAGATAGAGGTCGTGGCCAACCTTAAGGTGCTCTCGTATCATCTGCCTTGACAGTGGAGAAACCTCGGCCATGATACCCTGTCTACAGGTTGAAATGACGTGTCTGTAATCCAGCCTTGTGGATTTTTTTTTCAAATCCTTCATCTAATATGCGTGTACATATATACGAGTATATGTGTGTGTGTTAAAATGATCATGAAACTGAGAAATCAGGCCGATGCTCCAAAGTGGGAGCAAGAGTAAAGAAGAAAATATATGTGTGTGTTTTAATGAGATGAAAGTTATGAAAACCCCCAGTTTCGGGTTACCATAACAGCGATTTTTCGAGGATAACACGTTTCATGAACGTAAATTATGTCACGAACAAGCGTTCGGTCTACTGTTTCAGTGTGTCATATCTGTTGCATGAGTGTTGATCATATTTTGAAGTGTACATGTAAAATGTAGGGTAAATAAAATGAAATTAATCATTATGTCATTACCTTCTGGACTTGGTCAGTTGACTGAGCTGGTTTCTCTGCAGTTGCTCCTGCACTTACAGTGGCTTTCTGTTTCCTTTTTCCAGTATGCAGTTTCGTGGTCCACAAGCGATGCCACGAGTACGTCTCCTTCACATGCCCCGGCGCGGACAAAGGGGCCGATTCTGACGTGAGTACATCTTGAAGCCTGTCCGGCTAGAGAGAACGACGACGCTTCGGCCTGTCGTCTTTTTCTGTATCTCAGAGGAACAACGAGTTCACGTCTGTCTGGTCACAGAATTGACTTCTGCAGATGTCGCTGGGTCCTGTTTCCTGTAACCGTCCGCGTGCTGAGATACGGGGTTTTATTCAAAGAAATAGAACGAAATGCACTTGTTACTGCGAGACAGAGCGCCGCTGTGCCTGCGCAACCGCCGGTCGCTCGGTCTCGTGATAATGCAAATCAAAACACCCGGTATATTACTAATTTTAGTAATATTATTGTCTATTGTTTTATGTGGATTAAACTCTTTACTTTTCCGCGTTCATGGGTTTGAAACCGGTATAGCGACTAGCCAGGGGCCGAACGGTCGAGGTGTCGGAGTTCAAGTCCCTGTAGGGGCAAGAATTTTGTTCTGTCGACGTCGTCTAGACCGGTTCTGGGGCTCACCCAGCATCCTACCCAGTGCGTACCGGGGGCTCTTTCCCCGGGAACAAAGTGGCCGGGGCGTGAAACTGACCACCCACCTCCAACTAGTGTTGAGGTAAAAAATAAATGGATCTTTACGTCCACTCCTTCATATGTCTTTATGGCACGGTGCTTAATTGGATAAGCACAGCGACAGCTTTACCTCTCCTTTACGTATTCATGCGTTAGAGCCCCGGGAATCCCCAAATCCTGGCTCTCGTTTTCAAGAGACCGAAGGATCTTGGGACAGTGCTGCAGCTGCATGGAGGGCCTCGAACCGGCAACGGTCCGGGTGAGCGAATCACTGATTGAGATTAACTGTTTCTAAGGTGCCCAACTGAGTAGGCGTCTTCCTTTCTCACCTGAAGACGGAAACAGATCCAGTTTCCGAAACGTCGTGTCCCCTGATACCTAGAATTCCAGACGCTGGAAAAAGTCCAAACACCAAATAACAATTAAGTCGTGAGACAAGATTGTCCTTCTGAGCGAAATATCTTCTCTGTATTGCGGGCGGATGTACCCAGCCTCTGAAGTTACTTCTGTGGCCACTGCTTGTGGTTATGGGCCTCATAACGTGATTATTAATGATTCTTCTTCTTTCCAGGACTTGAAGTCAATGTATTTACCTGTGACTGCTGTCTCTTTGCAGGAAAATTTTGCTTGTTTTGTGTGTGTGCGTGTGCGTGCGTGCCTGAGCCGTCATACAGGTCTGATTGCATATATAAGTATGAAATGGCAAGCAAGGGAACCGTTGCGCATGAAGTTATCGCCGTCAGTTATAATATACATGAAAATGTAACTGTTCTGCTTCCTACCGCGGACCTGATAGAGAACACCCCGAACTCTTGCCACTGCTTTCAGAGCAATGTACAAGTATTGCAGTAGAAGTTTTTTATTTTGTCTCGAAACCTGAAAGTAACACAATCACGCGTCTTGAACACAACACGGGATGCAACAAGAACATCACACGGAAAAGTGAACAGAAGGAAGGCGCAGAACTCAGTATACGGCGAGAGAATGGGCCACACGGTAGCGTAGTATGTTGAGACACAATGCTACAAGCTGAATGGTCGCGGGTTCGGAATCCCGAAGTCGTTGGATATTTCAATTGACCTAAACTTTCGAGCCGCACTGTGGCCCTGTGGTCGACTCAGCCTCTAACAAAAATGAGTACCAGGAATCTTCCTGGAGGTAAAGGGCGGCATGGAGCAGACAGCAGGCAGAACAAGTGGCGTACGGAAACGCCATGTTCTACAGAAACGAAACGGATATTGTGATCCAACCTCTCAGTTCTCTGTTGCCATTGGCTCCGTAAGAGAACCAGGGCGAAGAGTAGAGAGACTTGCTGTGCTTGCAACCTATTTCATGTTGGTTTCTTGCATGGCGTCCACCCCAATCCTGAAGATGGAGGCGACTTGTTCTTCTGAAACGTCGGTTAACTTTCAGCGGACTACACGGCGTTGTATCCCAAAAGATAGGACTCTTCGTTATCACGGCTGTAAGAACCTGAAATCCTACATAAATTGAAATAAATGCATTTTATGCCGAGTTCCATGGACGTTTGAGGACACCGCGCATGAACGCAAGAAGTTGCGTGAGGTGTACGCAGTTTACCTTCGCGTTTGTGTTATTTCCGGAATACCTCCGAGTAGACGTTACCAAAACTGTCTTCGTTTGACTGGTATTGTTTTTTCCATCTTTTGTTTTCTGACCTTTATTTGTCAGCAATGTTGCCGCTTTCCTTTCGCCTGTCAACCAGTCTTCCTTTCTGCTTTCTGTGTTCATTTGTTAGTTCACTTTGCTATTCTGCGTTTCTTTTCGCATCTGAATGCCTCTCGCCCTTCTTGTGTTCTTATAGTATGAACAGAAAGATTTTTTTTTTCGTTCCGTTGCTGTGTTGCTGAAGATGACGTTTCCCGGAAAGAGTGAAGAGGTTCCGACAAGAAAGTTGCGTCTCCGCTCTGGAGCCAGAAGGGGCGGCACCTGCTTCCGTCTGTTGGCAGTTCACGCTCTCCAGAAACGTTTCCCCGCCGACCTTCACCTGGCCTCAGTGAATTGCTTGGAGTCTGAATGAAGGTCGTCTTTTTTTACGTTTGGAAAGTCGAGTCTACCTTACAGAGAACATACTCCATTTCTATTATGAACACCAGTCATTTATTGTTCCGTACGGAGATTATCGCTGTTTATTCTGAGAATTGTACGAAATACAGTATATACCTGCAATACACACCAACCAACACTTTAAAAACCCCCCTTTACTAATTCTTGTCAGAATTTTACCTAAATTACTGAAGATTCTTGATTTCGACCTTCCAAATTACCATTATCTCGTTGATGAATAGTATTGCTGATAGCGGTGAAAATTAAACGTAAGAAAAGAAGGATCCATTTTAACTAGCAATTCAGTGACGACGGACATGAATCCAGAGACCACCTGATGATGATCTTTCTAGACCGAAACCTGCAGTGGGATACAGAAAATAAATTGAGTATTAACGTTTCAGTATCGGTTTTATAATCATTCAGTTGTGCTAACGACTCTTAAATGTACCTATAATACAAGGTACACAAGAGAATACCATAAAATGACTAACGGTCTTATGGGACGTTGCAAAGCACAGCTCGGGGTGGCCTCAAGCGGACAGGGCAGGAACTGGAAGAAACTTTAAATGGGAGAAGCACAGACAGCACGGCCACCTCATAAGACGCACAGACAGCATGGCCATATAATAAGGGAGACGCACAGACACATCTCTTGTCGACTAAACTCCTACCCAGAGCAGCTCTGGATGGAATGCTGAAAATTGAATCACTGCCACCATACTAACTTGCCCACACAGAGCATCAGGTGTTATTTACCATGGACCTTGCAACCCCGACTCTCGTCTGAATATTGTTTCAAATTCAGCCTCTGCCTCATAGACATGAAATTGTGTTCCAGAGATCACTGTCTCCTGCGATATGGCGCCCTGTTTTCTATTTAACTCATAGTGATGGGATGGTAGTGATTCATGAATGGGAGGCACGGAGCAAAAGTAAGAAAACCTCTGGATAATGTGTTTCCCGGCCGAGATACGAACCAAGCTAGTCCCCAGTGAGCGCTCAGAGAACTTAAGTGACTGTGCAGCTCTTGTCTCGTAGATCTCTAGCCTAAATATACGTATCAGCACTACATAGCTCCGAACAGTTTGTATCCACATACCCAACTGCACGGCGTGACGTCCCAGAAGAGAGTAGGCTTCATGCTGACCGTCCTGGAAACCCTGAAACCCCACACTGCCCACTCACCCGTTACAACGTCCAGAGAAACAGTAACTGTTGGTTGTAGGAACCATACGCGAACGCTCAGGTACATACATTCTGTGGTCACAGTAGAATAGACAAAACTATCCAAGCCATGGGGGCCGCGCCATAGCCCAAGCGGTTAGTCGCTGGCTTCTCACTGTGGCGGCCAGGGTTCGATCCCGGGTCTGGTCAAGTGGGATTTGTGGTGGACAAGGTGGCCTGGTACAATAGGCCAGAAGTGGCCGCAGTACAAGGGACTCAGTCCCACCCCACTAGCAATAAAAAAACATCCAAGCCATAGAGACCCATAGGGTTGTGAGACGTCCAAGGTCCCACATTTTCTAGACAATCGGCTCATAGATGGCGGTGAGGTGATCAGCCTTACACGCCGGCCGCCTTATACCACCAGGAACATTTCTAGTACTCATTTCTCTTAGAGGCTCAGTCGGCCCCAGGGCCATAGTGCGGCTAGAAGGATTAGGGCAATTGAAAAATCCATTGACTCCAACAGAAATGGAACCCTCTACGTACCGGCTTGTAGCATAGTGCATCAACTAACAACACTAAACGAAATTTTAGTATGTTAAAGAAGCAAGTGGTACGCATAGTTACCAGAATACTTTGAAGAGTTGAATATTTGGAATTTTTCGCGATTGCTGCCATGTTGTACTTGTTCCACAGCGTGTTTTTCTGTGTGTGTATGATTGTGCGTGTGTTTTACAGGAAGTGTCGCAGCTCCGTGAGGGTGTCGGGGACAGAATTTTAGAAGGGTTAACTGCACCGCACCTGTCTACAACGGAAACTCTCATTATCTCTGGCCTGTAAAGTGAAAATCTTGATGTACTTGCAGTAAACGCAAACTGTTTAAAGTGCTTAGAAACAATTCAAAAAATGCTTAGAAAAATTAAGTTCGGTAGAAAAAATACTCCGCGTATTGTTTCGTGTCCGGACATGTCTGAAGAAGAACAAGATACATGTGCAGAATTCTGCAGTGCGTTGCGGACACAAGAATAGAAACAGGAAAGGAACGACGAATGTTGCGTCTTCAATATGAAGAGCACTGTGTTCTGAGATGTGCTGCCGTGTATCGCGGCTTATATTTACCGATGTTTCAGAGCAATGTGAAATAAAGATAGGGCTGTGCCTATAACAGGCCTTGAAGGCCTATAGGGTTGTGAGACGTCGAGGCTCCTACATTTTCTAGACAGTTGACTCACAGATGGCAGTGAGGTTGTCAGCCTTACGCGCGGGCCGCCCTTTACCCCCAGGAATATTCCTGGTACTCATTTCTGTTAGAGACTGAGTCGACCTCAGGGTCATAGCGCTGATGGAAGGATTTGGTCAATTGATATATCCAATGACCTCATCGGGAATCGAATCCTGGACCTTCCGGCTTGTAGCATAGTGCCTCAACCAACTACGCTACGGCGTGTCCCTTCGGAGGAAGTTACTGCCTCCATATTGGGAGTCGAGAAGTCGTCCTTGCAAGCAGAACCGACTCCCTTCTTGGTGCTTACATGACGTTATCTTTGGCTCTTTTAAGGTGGAGGTGTTATATTCCTCCGTAACGTCGGCAGAAGTCTACCCGACTACACGGCGTAACATCCCAGAAGTTACTTTTAACGTGAGTTTTAAGTAAATAGGCTCCCGTGTTCAGGTCCATATGGGGGTTTTCCTTGTGAACAGGTGCTACTGTGTGTTGTGACTAGGCTCTGCGTATCAGCCAGTGCCCCCCGACTAACATGTGTATGAGTGGGGTGTGGTGTGTCCCACAGGACTCGCGGACCAAACACCGGTTCAAGGTCCATACATACAGCAGTCCAACGTTTTGCGACCACTGTGGGTCCCTGCTGTACGGTGTCATCCATCAGGGCATGCAGTGTGAAGGTAACCCAGCCCTCAAACCAAGCCGCTTGTTGCCAGCCTTAATAACAGAACTAAACTATACGATAACTTGCGTTGCTCGCAGTTCTATACCTTGCCGGTCTCATCCCCGATCCCTTCCTCTTGGGCTCGCAAAATTTCTCCTATTAGCTTCGTCATGTTTGTCTGTCCCATCTCCATGTGACAATTCAGGATTGGCTGAGCGAATTTTCGTGAAATTTCATGTTGTCGCGTTTTACTGAAGCATGTCTGCGTATTCCAGGTTTTGTTAAAATCGGTCACAACTAACGAAAGCTTGACACGAAGACCAGAATGCGTCTATGCTTGCATCTCGAGCTCAACTCACCTGCGCCTCTATTTAACCTCTGCATTAGATGCAGCTTAACGCCGCGGCTGTTTTATCCCCCGTGAAACTAACCCAGTACCGATTTGATAGGAGATTAGTTAAGGCCCGGAGACGATCTGGGCGCCGTGCCGACCGGCCAATAGCCCCCAGCCTCTTTATCGGAACGAGAAATGTTTCGAACGAAAGTTGTGGAGGAAGCACAGATTTTATTTTCAATGCAGCTTTTCAGCAATTCTTAAAAGTTTGTGAGATAATTACACAAGCTCTCAAGGGCTCGAAAATTGTTACGCTATGCATATATTTCCTTACTTGTTAATATGTCTGTAAGCGATCCAGGGTAGTGTAATCAATAAAGACATTAGGTGCTTGCTGGGCGGAGGGGCTTCGATTCTTGGCAGGTGCTGTCTCTTCTCCTCTACGTCGGTACCATCAAAAGGTAACGGAGCTCTTACCAAGGATTTAAAGCGGCCGGGGCGTGAAAGTGACGTACATATCTCCGTATAATGTCGAGGTTTTTGATCTCCACGCGCTATATACGCCACTGTGGTGTCGTGTTTACGTTTCAGTGTGAAAACACGAATGTACTTGTGAATAAGAGAGGGCTCATGGGCGACGTGCATTTGGTTTGGCTGCTCGGATGTGCCTTGCTGCTAATAAATAACTCAAATGATGTAGCCTCGAGCTTACGGACCGAGGATGTGAAGATGTGCGGCCTAGTCACGCCTTGTCGCAAACCTCAGGAGCGTGGAGCGATGGCGGAGTGGTGAGAAGTACTCTGTGAATACATAAACCGGCGTGGCGCTACGCACTGAGAAGCCGGCGTCTGTGACTCTCCTCCCCCACCCCACCCCTCGCGGCTACTTGTATGGGCCACCAACTCTGGACAGACGGCCTAGGCCCTAGGACTAAAAACGAGACAGTTTATTATAGTAACTTGTTTGGTATCCGTTGCGTACTGCAGTCGAATGTGAACCCAGCAGCCGGCTGTGTTAACAGATCTTTCGCGATTAATCTCGCCCCCCCCCCCTCTCTGTGCAAATGTAAAGAGGATTTTAACGTTGCCCAACACCGTGTCCTTCCATATCCTTCCAATTCAGCCCTGTATAATTCACGAAGACTAAACAGTATCGTTAAATAACCAAAGAATTAAGAAACGCATGCGCAGTTTTCCCCTGTAGCGAGTAATGCAGGACTGTTTTATGCTGGCGGCATGTGTCTGTGCGGTTTGACCCGGCCCCTTTCCTTCCTACTTTGGCTTACTGCGAATGGAGTTTTCCTGTCTCATTTTTACTGTGTTTTTGTCTAGATCTGGTTCTCTTCTACTTGCTTTTTTTATCTTGATTCTCTGTCCACATGCCTGTGAGAGCCGCAACAATGGATGACTACTGTTGCTGCGATGACGTCATTGGCTGACCATGGCGCCGGTCACCATTTCTTCTCTCTTTCCCACTTTTTGGAATGCTGTATTGTTGCCTACTGCCACACTTATGTGAGTCTGGCGAGCGACCACGAACACACTGCAGTGCTGCCATCTGACAGTGCACAGTTAACTTCGTGTCCCTCGCTGGTTTCATTTTCCCACCAGAGGGCGTATCTCACTGGCAAATAGCGATCAGCTGGGCCTGCAGTTGCTGAACATGGCTTCACGTAGAAGTGCTGTAGCCATTAGCCGTAGAACTGTATTGCTCATGTTTAGATAACCTTAGCTAGGCGGTTGCATCAGTTAGTCCGAAGGTAATGCTTTGGTTCCTCTCACTGTCTTAGGTTCCAAAATTCTAATCGCGCACTTTGGCGTGACTTCTTCCGCATCCATTATGAGTAGTAGAGAAGACGTCGGTAGCGCTTGTTGTGAATGAAACACTGATGTTTCGGTGCCTGTATGTGTCTCCGTCATCAGGTGTATATATGACGAGTGACACGGATATGTGCGTGCGTGCAGGAGCTGCAGTACTGGAGACACCCTCGGTGCCGCCCTTGGTTAATCCTCGCAAGGCTGAAATTTGTCTGAGTACTGAGTTCTTACCTCATAATAAATACACTGCTTCTCTGTTACAGAGATCAACCGGTTTAGGGTAATGGTTGCGCTTTATTGTTGCAATCATGAGCCAAGTTGAGAGTTTTCGAATGTTGAGGTAGCCATTATGCTGTGAAGGGTTAGAGAGACACGATCTGCAGACCCGGAATGTAGACTTTGTGAGTTCTTCCGGGAACTGCTCGGTAATGCTGAGAAGAAAGTTATCCGGAGGACGATCCTGGGGACGATGTTTCGGACAATATGAACAGAGGATGTTGGTTGCCGGACGTTGCAGTTGTGTGTACCTCGGCTAGACTACGCCACTGTCGATGCATTGCCCACGTTAGGATTGGGCTACCTGCACCCTTCCCCCCATGAATATCAGGGTGTAATAGAAGCCTGTCAAGACCATTTTGTGCCACTCGTCATTGATGACGGAGACAGAAACGGTCTCCGAAACGTTGGGGTTATGTACAGCCAGGATTTCAGATATCAGGTAGAAAGCAGGAACTTTTGAATTGGGTGCAGGCGGGTGTACTGGGACTGCCCCGCCCCTGTATATAGTGAGCATGCGTTCCAGCGATGCTGGAGAGGTACTGGGCCCGAAAATAAGACCATTGTTATAATCTTTTTGAGTGTTATAGATGAGACCACTTGTTCATAGACTTTTATTTTCTTCTTTGTCAGATTGTATTTCGGCTCCTTATTTTGAAGTTGGAAACTGTCTCTGCGTTTTAAATGGCTATGAATTACTGTAGGAAACGCGAAAGTAAAGGAACGGATTTTTTAAATTGATCATGAATAGTCAGAAGTTTCGAATTAACCCTGCTGTTAACACGTATAAAGATGAAGTTGTTTTGGGTCTTAAGGGTTGTTGCTAATTGAAGGAGGAATTTTGTGTTTGGTTCGAGTTGCCAGAGTGAGGTGGGCCCCCGTTATGTCTGGTGGCCACTTTTCTTTCTCACTTTTCTGTAACTGTGTGAAGCCTTGTGATTTCCCCCCATCCCTCGCTTGCTGACGCTGTGTAAATGTTTCGGTGTTGTTTCGTGTTCTCGTCTCTACCAGGCGGCGGTCGCCAAGCACAAGTGGGAGACTTTCTCATACTTGACACCGACTTTCTGCGACCATTGCGGCTCCATGCTCCACGGCATCACACACCAGGGCCTCAAGTGCACAGGTTAGAGACTGCTGCTGCCGTTCAGTGTGTGGCAACACTTCTTTAGGCTTTCCCGTGCTACAGGGTGTTGTGATTTTTTTTTGACGAGGCCGAGTACCGTGAAGTGGACTTTATTAATGCCGCATAGCGATCGGCTATGCGTCCGCTATACGGATCTCTGTCTCGCAATAAAACAAGAGATACCCTATATTCCCTATTGTTTCTCCACTCTGCTGTGCGTCTATACATTGCCATTGTCACTCACAACACTTATAATATGCTCGGAATGTCCGCCAACGGTCCCACTGTCTGTTGTGTGTTGCCACTTAAAGTAAAGGAGTCGTTACGACCCGTGTCTCGTGCACCGCGATATACTGTCCAACTAAATCCATTTAAAGCCCTACCCAAATAGAACACGTTTTGTTCCCCATCTCACCGAGCAAAACATAAGCGAGTCTCCACAACACGTGCTAGAAGTGCCCTCCGTTGTTTTCAATATATGCAACAATCCCTTGGCCATCTTTCGGGACACGTGCGAGGAATAAACCGCATTTTCTATTTGGGTACGGTTTTATATGGACCGTCATGTTTTCTGGCTTACATTTTAACTAAGGCCGTATGCGGACAGGTCACATATCCTTGCTCAGATATATTTAAATTGTAGTTGGCATTAAATCGTGTTAGATTAATTTGTTTTACACTGACAGAGTATCCACGTGTCCTTAAGCCGACATGCCCATGTTCGCACTTCATTTCTTTACACATCGCGTTCTTTTGTTGTTTTTAACATTTTTTATTAACATTAACATTATTCGTAGTTTCCATTCGCCTTTTTAAACAATCCGTCAGAGCATTTTAATAAACGTGCATCCCCCGCAGCAAAGTAGCGACTGAATAGCCACTGAACGTTTGACTTCCCCGCAAAGAGGCAGGGGGAGGACACGGCAGAGATGCTGGACCCGAAGAAGGCAGCCTGTACAGTTATATCCTGTGTCTGATATAGAGACCGCTTTGGGAACTGCGTGTCAGGTGATTGGCTATTGGTACATTGACTCTGTGGTAAGCTAATGGTTCCTCGGCTGGTCAAGTATATAAGTCCCTGCGTTTTATGGAACCTGGCAATTAATTTCCGCGTTCACAGGACCCCACCATCGATCCTTATTCTGAATCAAATGAACCAAATGGACCAAAGTCCACAGCTTCCAGCCCTAGGCGCACACACAAAATCTGACCGGATGAAAAGATCGTTGATGAGAGAGNGGGGGGGGGGTAGAAGGAAGGAGACAATACGATGACGATAGTATTGGTTTGTGTTGCTTCCCTGTGACCAGCGACCATGTGGTTCAGTGTTCTAACGTCTAAATTCTGCGTTTCTTGAAGGATTTGAGGTTCTTACAGCGGTGGTTGTGAAGAGTGTTGTGTTTTGTGATGTAGCGCGTATATTCCGTCGAAACTCGACCGACGTTTCAGACGAACGTGTCGCCTCT